AAAACAAATTCAAAATGTGTTTGACATTGTGAAAGACATTTTGTGCCCTCCTGCATCTGTTTTTCAATGTTGTGCTGCTTGCCCTGTATACCTAGCGCCGGACAGCAGACACAAATAAATCACTTTGCAGTTACGTATTAGTTGTGGTTATTGGTTAATGCTGCTTAGCAAGAAAAAGGGAGCACTTGATTTGATGCAAGGCATCTCCCTGCTAATAGAAACACAGCAGAATGATTGTCACGTGAGACTGAGATCACAGAGGAATCTAAATTACACTCACAAAATGATTTATCATGCAGCCCTATGTTCAACAGTCAAAAAAAACTTTTCCTTCATCAAGACTGTGTGGTTGGCTCACATTTGACTGGCAACATCAGATAGCCAACCCTCAAATGTCACTAGATTCAAGCATTATTAAATTCTGACTGGTGAATGGAAGTTTGTGACAGCACCATTTTCCATTAGACGGAAGCAGAGACAGAAATCTCTCCAAATCTGTTACAGCTATAGAACCACACTGCTCATAATAAGAAACTGAAATAGGTTTTCAAGGCCTTCGAATCTCAACCACTAAAATAAACTCATTGATTACTTACAGATTAAAACTGTCTGGCACACTGAAAGCATCAACAACCCAGGACACCACAGCTCAGACATGTGAACCTATACTGTGTCACTAGTTCTGTCACTGACCTCTAATTGACCTTGTGTGTCTTTGTTTGCCCTCTCCGTCTCTCTCTTGGTTCCCTCCTCAGGTGTGGTCCGCGTGTCCCTGGCAGACATGGACCGAGAGACCAGAGAGAACTACACTGTGGTCATCCAGGCCAAAGACATGGGCGGCCAGCTGGGGGGACTTGCTGGCACCACCACTGTCAACATCACGCTCAGCGATGTCAATGATAACCCGCCCACGTTTGACCAAAGTAAACAACATTCTATAATTTATTCTCCCTGCTCTCTGTTTCATTTCCCTGTCTTTTGTGTGTTTTTCTTGATTCCCTTCACTCCGCCCTCTGCCCACACCACCCTCATCTAATTCCAAGAAAGACAACAAAGGAGCCAAACAGACATGTTCTGGATAGTTCCTCTCAACTGTGGATGACTCTCTGAGCAGGCCCATAAGGCACAGGCACAGGGCCCAAAAGGGGCCCTAGACCAGACAACTGTGAAGGGACTGTACATCTTTCCATTGGAAATGCCAAATAAATGACAACAAAAGGCTTCAAAAAGCCACAAAATGAGAAAAAAATAGCTGACCCTAAAGACAGCGAAACAACTACAACAACATGCAAAGAGACACTAAGAAATAAACACAAAAGTATAAACGGGTGTAAAATGACTACACGCATCATTGTTCAATCCGTGAGTCCTGCTTGTGGAAGTGTCAGAGAGGTGGGGGCCTTTTATACATCTGTGCCCAAGGGCCTATTGTCTCATGATCCGCCCGTGCTCTCAACACTAAAGAAACAGAGCAACCAGGGGTGTAGGAATTCTGTGGCACAATATATAGCAGTAATTTTAAAAATCTACCAATTCTTTGCATAAAGACTACAAAGGATTGTTTGCATTGTTGATTAATAACCCATTAATAGTGCTCACCAGTTCTCCAGTGTCCGAAACAGTGTGGGTTCAGTACAGCAATAGTGTGGCATGTGTGCATTAAAATGGGACCACAGCATCTGAGCACCATGTGTGAATACTCACAAACTCAGAGCGACTAAACAGAGTTTTCTGTTAAATATGGGTGGCTCCAGTGAGAATCAGCCACACGTGTCCACATCTATCATCTCTGGAGCACCCATCCATTGGTCGCATACCCTATTTCCCTCTGTCCACTTCCGCAGGACCAGTCTTGGGACAATTACCCCCTGGCCTCCTCCCTCCTCCTCTCAGCCACCAGTTGCACCATGCTGTCTCTTTGAGTATTCCCATTTCTGCTCCTCTCATTACTGTTCTCTTGAGATCAGGGGTTGTCTTGCTGTCTGTGTTCATCTCAGCGCAGCCAATGTGTGGCTTCACTCTTAGACAAAGAAAACACCCGCCGTCCACTTCAACTTCCATCACTAGTCCCTCACCAATTAGTGGCATCACTTTGATGGAACTTTGATCGACTGTGAGGAGCGTCAGGGATTCCCTTCAGTCAAGCACAATGTGCAGGCATTTCGTTCCGGACTGCAGGGAGCGCTGCAAATTGGGCAGCTGTCACCTCCTGTTTGAGGTTAAATGGTAGATGAAATTCAAGCCGGCCTGTGAGACAGTATATAACCCAATTGTGAGGCGTTTGTGGAGCCATTTATTATAGGCTGTCTGAGATGTGATTTCAAAAGGAGAGGAACAGTTGTACAGGCAATGGAAGAGGTTTGGTTCCATCTACAGGGCATAAAGAGTATGACAGGGTGATCACTGTTAATATATCTCCTCAGGGCTGTACCAGATGAGTGTCCCCGAGTCAGTTCCTGTGGGTTCAGTGGTGGGTCGGATCTGGGCCAAGGACAGAGACACTGGGGTCAACGCTGAGATGAAGTACAGCATCATCGATGGAGATGGCAGGGACACCTTTGACATCAGCACTGACCCCAACAACCTTTTTGGCATTATCACAGTGAAAAGGGTACACAAGCAAACTGATTTATTTTTATCTTAACTATTTTAAAAATTTGTTTATGAATTGAACATATAAAGAGACAAAGAAATGAAGGGAAACAGCTTGGAGATGAACTTTAGCTCCCAGAAAGCTCATTTGTCTTACAGTTGCAAAACTCCATTCAAACATCTGGCAATTAAATTTTGCCTCAAGATGTGCAAAGATTGCATGCTGTCTACAACCCATTCTCAATTTTAAGTGTCTTTTGGTAAATTTGGAACTAAAACAATAATAACAAACAGTCTCTTCACCTTTCCACTGTTACTTAGCATCCTTTATCGGTTCACTGTTACCTGGTCATCTTATTCAGAGTCATGATGTGTATATTTCTTGCAGGAGATTCAACTTGGCACATATTCAAATGTCTCTTTAATTACTTAACTTCATTTCAACTTGTGTTTAAAACTGAGGCCAAAATGCAGCTGGAATTCAGCACCCAAAGGTGTCTCCTGCTGTAATGGCTCTGTGTCTTCTCTCACCAGCCACTGAACTTTGAAAACAAGCCCAGTTATACTCTAAAAGTGGAGGGTGCCAACATCCACCCGGACCCGGCCTTTCGCCAACACGGGCCCTTTAAGGATGTCACCATCGTGCATGTGAGCGTGGAGGACGTGGACGAGCCCCCGCTGTTCGATTTGCCAGCGTATTACATTGAGCTGCCAGAGGATGCTGAAATTGGGACCGTGGTGAAGACAGTGTCTGCGAGGGATCCCGATGCTGCCAACAACACCGTGAGGTAAGAACAAGGCAGCAACACTGCCCTGGGATTTGTCGAGCTTCACTCCTCATTTTCATTTACTGCCGTGTTGTTTTTATACAAAGTCTGAACAAATCAGTTTTTACAAACCGGCTATTAAATATCTCAAATATCACACTACAGAAATTAACCTCAGAAGCTCAAACATTTGGACATGTTTCTATGTATTTGTTGTCCAAATACATTATTCAAAGTAGACACTATGTGTTTTACAGTTTTGTTCAGTGTAATTTGTATTGAGAGGTCAAAAACATTAAATCCATCAAAATTCTGTTTTTGCTTTGTTTTTATTTTGCATGTTAAAACTCAGTCTCAGATTAGTTCAGTCTCTGAACATTATTTAAACCATCCAACAGCAATGTGGATTGTTATACTTGTTGGATTGTTGTACTTCCTTAAATTTTTGTAATTTACAGATCCACTTGACAGTTTAGTCCTGTCCACATGTTCAGTGCTCAAGGTTTAGAATTTAACATCCATTGTTTTATTTATTTATATTTTGGGTAGAAGTCAGAAACACATTTACTGTATTTAGATCATTCAAATGTTGTGAGCTGCTGCACATGTTGTTTCCTGATCCTTATAGGTTCACATTTATTAAAAATGAATTGTTAAAACCAATTTAAACTGTCCATATTCACACACAGTAACAACCGTTGTGGTGAAAGATTGTGAGAAAGAAATACAATGAATAAAAATGGCACTGATGTTTCCAGCAAAATCACTTGCAAATATTTGACTGTGAAGTCTGAGGTTTTATCAGACAAGAGGAAACTAATGTTAAATACCTGTCATCCATCCACAACCAACACTCACTGATAACATGTAGCCTGACAGATACTTACAACAACAAACCAAGCACAACCATAAACACATCACCTTAAACCAGGTGGTCCTTACTCTCCCTCTGTACAAAAACATCAGTTATTAAATCCAAGACAGGTTATTTTCCATATGACAGATGTCACATTGTCTTGTTGCCACTTCATTCTTCATGTATCCTGAGTGTCCAGTAAGGTTATTTTAAAACTTAATAAAACAAGCCAGCGTTCCCTGAACTAAACTCTTCCTCCAGGTGTTCAAGGAAAACACCTGGAGCTCGCAGTCCACGCCAGTTTAAAAGTTTGGTAATAACACGCACGGATACAAACAATTCGCTTCTAGTTCCAGCAATGTTCATCATTGAGACTTAACAAATGTAAACACACTGCACTGATTTCTAGTGAAAACACCTGTCCCTCTGATTTGCAGAACACTCCCTGTTGCTCCTCCTTCACATTAAAAGCATAATATTTTCAAAACTCCGAAAGGCTATTGTTGTGAAGCGGTCTTGGGAAATTTTATGTCTTTGTCACTGACATTATTGTGAAATAAAATACCTTCTCAGCAAGCTTGACTCAAAAGTAACATGGATTTTTGATATTAAAAGTTTTATATTTTCATCTGAAAGGCAGTTGAGTAGAAGTATAAAATGACTTAAAGTACAGTTCTGTAGTATGTAGCCTACAGGCCTTGAGTCAGTTTACTATTTGATAGGACAACCAGTAGGGTAAATCTAATTGACTGTAATTAAGATATTACATCCAGCTTTCAATACACTGCAGAGTAGTTTGGATCTGCTGCTGTAATGTTACTTCATAACCAGCAGGGGGCCGCATCGCAATATAGCTTCTCACAGCAGGCTACAACTGCAGGCTCTTTAATAAAGTCACTGGACTGAGCTTCCATTAATGATCATGCGTGTTTGAGAGCTCCACACTGGGAGAGCTGATACTTTTGGGGCTGAGGATAAGGAGAACAAACACCATCATGTTATTTACAACTCTGACAACATCCACTAATTAGTCCACACACGGATACTAGAAGCTCTCTCACTTATTTGACAGTACAGTATGTTTTGCGTTCTAACAAAACAGATGTTGTGTGGTGGGGTTGACTCTAGTCTGCACCTCTCATAAACTAATTAGACATAAAGCTTTTAATTAGCCTATTAATCATCTGATGGAATCAGTGACAGCAGTGAAGGAGTGTATCACGCAGCACAAGCTGCAGCTGTCCATTTTACAGCCTCTATCCAAAGTAAAGCACAGGACGTAGATAGAAATGACACGGCGGCTGCTTGTGTGTGTGTGTGTGTGTGTGTGTGTGGATTGTGTGTTTGCTGTTACATTCATCAGTGTGCATGGACATTCAGCAGTTTGTGCTGTGTCTGAAACTTCTTCTGCACTCACTCATTCACTGTTCCCTAACAAGCACCAAATGAGCAAGAAATTGAAATTTCAGACACTTAAGAACCCTCATTTTTCTCAGTAACACAACTAAACTTGACTGAGTTTCAGTATAAATGAAGCAAAGTGTTGCAGTACTATCGTTTTTAGCCATATGGTACACGTTGGACTGCCTCACTCAGCAGCCTTCTCCAAATGCCACATTTTAATAGCAGATGTCATTAAAATCACACATGGACTGAGGCACAAGACACCTCACCTAGCTAAATGCATGGGGTTTTGCTCCACAGCCTGGAAGAAGATGTTATCAGATCATCCTGCTTCTCCTCATCCTCCTCTGTGTGTCTGTGTACATTTGGCTGTTGCTGCATTTCATTCTCAGAAGAGCATTTTGGAAAACGTCCCACGGTAGTGGGAAATGAGCCAAGGCGGCACGCTGCAGGTCTGTGGATCCCCGGCATCAGTTTGGCAGACAAGGCAGACACTCTGATTAGCTGAGCCTGTTCTTCTTCTTCTTGTGCCTTCAGAAGCTGCCAGCCTGTCATCTTATCTCACAGATACACACATGCTGGATTGTGTATGTGTGTGTGCATGGCTGACACAATGGACTCCCAAAACACATAACAGTGCGCTGATATTCGTGCGTCACCCTGTGTCACCAGGTATTCCATTGAGAGGTCCAGTGATCCCGACAAGTACTTCTACATAGAGATCACCTCCGGGTCACTGATGACGGTGCGTTCACTGGACCGAGAGGAGATCGGCTGGCACAACATCACTGTCCTCGCCATGGAAATGAGTACGTCCTGTGCACTCACACACATGTACAAAATCTTTCTAATGGAGAAGCTGCTTCTTATCGAGTAGTGTCTCTTTCAGAGTGATATTTGCAACATTTCTAAGAGAGGTTGTTTTATTTCAGTACATCTCTAGAAATAAAAGCCTGACAGCTGCACTAGGATCAAGAGAAATAGAGTTAATTTTAGAAAAAAGTTTATATAATAGAAGTTTTTTCACTTGTAAGAAATGTTCTACTGTTGTACTTCTTCCATCTTTCACAAAAGGATAAAGCAGTTCATAGGGAAAACAGCTCACTGTCATAGCCCTGGTAAAACCTCCAGTTAGGATTTTAAGTTAGATTAAACATTTGGGAGGACACGTTGTTTTGTATTCCACTCAGAAACTCTGAGCAAATTAGCACAGAAGAGGTACATTTGACTTTGCACAGCAGGAAAAGCAAAGCACAGGTCTTACTAATAACAATATAAATGGCTTCATTTCACAAACAGCTAAATTAAATTCAACCGTTATTAATTTTATTAGTTAAACCTGTGCTTTACCTACTGTGACATTTCAAAATGTCTTCTCTGAAAAAGGTCTTTTAATACTTGATTTCATCTTTTTTATTAAGAACCAAATTCTTATTTTCACATATTAATTGAACCTCTCTGTGATGCCACTGATTTTAATTCACCTAGGAACACCATCCTCAAAGTTACAGCACTTTCGCTTGAGCTGCGTATTAAAGTATGTTTCTCTAACCCTCAGACAAACTCACACCCATATACAGTAGCACACAAAACAAACATTAACACAAGTTGACACGGACACAACCCCCAGAACCAAAGTCACCCCACTGATCAATCAATCATCCGATGAACTCTAAGAAGGTAGTTACAGCCCACTAACTGCATTTCTACTGCCTATTACACAGCTGGTTAAGATATGCAAATTACTGACTGGTAATTGAGAATAAAGGAATTGTAATCTTAAGACAATGAGAAGCCTAATGTGCTGTAGGCTCTCTGTAAATGAGGGGAAGATTAAAAGAAGCACAAACTGAGCTCAGCAGGATCCTCAAAGTGTCATTTATCTGATCCATCAATGCTTCACTCTGTGTGTTTACTGAAAGTGTGTGTTCCTGCAGATAACCCCACACAGATCGCAAGTGTGTCAGTGGCTGTGAAGGTCCTGGATGTGAACGATAATCCTCCTTCGCTGACACACTACCTAGAGGTTTACGTGTGCGACAGCGCCAAAGCGGGGCAGGTACAATGCCATAAGTGTCTGACATGACAACATGTTACACAGCAGCGTGAGAAATGCTCTAGCTCATCAGTAGTGGAAAGTAAGGACATTTAATACTGCTCTACATTTATACAGAACTTCTCCTGAACCAAACTCTAAAGCTACTAGTTACCTTGAATATTAGTATTTTACAGACAAAATATATAAGGATCTTGAAAATATGATGCATCGTGACTGCAGGATAAAAGTTCAAATTAGCACAACTAGCTACAAGGTTAAAATGCTGCATGCACAATAATGAACCAGTAAAATTGGCAGCAAAGCACTGTGAATCACTGAACAGGTAGTCATTCATTTAACCTGTGCTGATACTTTTTGCTTATACCTCTGTACTTGATGAACAATTTGAATGCAGAACTTATACACACTCAGATTTTTTCATTTTCATTTTGCTACGTGTACTGAGGTAAAACCATTGTGGAACATATGACACTACTCATGCACCCAGAGCCTTTGGATCTAACTCTATGTTCTTATGATCCAGCTGATCCAGACTGTGACAGCAGTGGATCCAGATGAGCCGCTGGGTGGACAACACTTCTACTACAGCTTGGCTCCGGAGGCCGCCAACAACCCCAACTTCACCCTGAGAGACAACCAAGGTAGGTTTCCCATAGGTTCAGTCCAGTTGATATCCAGACTGATTTAGGAGCAAGCAGACTTCACGGCACTAGTTTGCTCATCCTGATGTCCCACATAAGACTTCTTGGTGTTTCTTTGGTGCATGTATCTTCAATAATCACTTCATCTTGACTCCGTGCTCATTCACCATCCCCTCTTGTGAACGTAGAACACTGTACATACATACATACATACATACATACATACATACTCTTCATCTGTTTGCTTTTGGTTGAGGCAGGTTTTAGTTGTCCTGCTCTGGGCCATTGGAACCGTCTGCCTGAGGAGCTGAGAGTAGCTGAAATGAATCGTATCTTTAAACGTAAATTTAAAACCTTTAGCCTGGCTTTTGATTGTTTGAAATGTTTTATTCCCTCTTATATAATTTATTTGTCAGGGTCTGTTTTTATTTATTTTAACTCAATTTTGTTTTATTTTCTATTATTTTAATTGATTTTTTTAATTTTTTCCATGCGTGCATTAGTCATATTATTTTCAAATTTTGTTGCTCTGTTGTTTTGGTGTTCTGTCTTATTGTCAGTCATGTTTAAAGCACTTTGATTTGCATGAACCACCATGAAAGGTGACAGATGACGTTTTGATTTTATTGGATTTCAGACAACACAGCATGGATCCTGACTCGGCGTGGCGGCTGGTCACAGCAGGACCAGACTGTCTTCTACTTGCCCATCTTCATTTCTGACAGCGAGCAGCCAGTCCAGACCAGCACCAGCACCATGACCATCCGAGTGTGCAGCTGCGACCAGGAGGGCAACATCATGTCGTGCAATGCCGAGGCCTACAGCCTGCCCGCCAGCCTGAGCAGAGGAGCGCTCATCGCAATCCTGGCCTGTATCTTTATCCTGTTGGGTGAGTTATGATCTGCTGCTGGTCTGTGGATGTGCACAAAGGAGCCAGTGCTCCTTTCTCGTATAATAATATTTAATCTGATAGAATGTCAGATAAAACGTCAGACAGCCTCCAGGGTATCTTGAAGAGCATTGACTTTACTGTCGTCAGAGCAGGTGTCCAACGCTTGATGGCATCTGGCTCAGGCTGTTATCCATGTCTGAGGACAACAGTGTTTGAAGGCCCACACAGGGGGAACAGAAACGTCTTCTCTAGCTCATTAAAGAGTGGTGGTCAACCTTAAGCATGTCAGATGGTGACGAGCTTCCACATATCTGCCTCTGAGTCACTTTTTAGCATCAAATATCTATTGCACAGAATTATCAGGGCTATTAGCTGCCTGCAAGATTTACGATAATTATATACACAAGGAATTTAGTTTCACTAAGAAAAACTATTTACAAAATGTGTTTTATTATTACAAAAATCTGATTATTAAGAACAATAGCACAGCTAACCAGTGATATAATAACTTCATAACCACTAAATAACCCAAGTGAAAACCAATAGTACAAATTGCGCCATTAAAAAAATGAATTACTGTCTATTCAGAAGAATAAGCTCACACTTGAAGCAAGCAAAGATGCTCTAACAGAATGTGTTGCTGCTTCCCAGAGGAGCAGTGTGAGTCACCCTGCTCACAGCTACAGGAGCACGAGAGAGAAAGTGGGTCCATATCAGCCTCCAGGGGAAAGGAAAGTGGGCTGCTACAGGACAGCTGGTGCTAATGAATGCTATACTCCTGCCAGGATGCAAAAAGAAACTTATATTTAATCCTGCACCAATGATGTCACGTTGGGAGATGCCTTCCTGTAGCTGCTCTATCTTTCACATTCTTTTTATATCTACTTCTCAGGTTGTGAGCCAGTGTCTAGCAAAAATGGAAATATTTCTGTAGTGACAAAATATGTCTAGTAATGTTACTGTAAGATTTATATTGGTTGGTTTGGCCTGGGCAACATATTTTGTGCTTATAATCAGCTTCAATCAGCTGCTCCCCCTCTCTGCTGCAGCTCTTCAGATGTTTGGTGTTATGAAGTCACAATAAATGAGAATACAACAAAACCTACTGCTCAAGCAGAAATCATTGGAAAACCCTGATTGGTCAGAGAGGTCAGTCCCACTCAAAACCTTTAGAAGCTAATATTTTGGCACTGATGCCAATGCTGGTCACAGGCAGCTTCAACAGCTCCTCTCCATATTAAAACCACTTTTGGGGCAGATTTCTACAACTAAAAGATTCGACAAAAGTTTTATATTGTAGATTTAAATGACCAGTTTAAAAATGCATTTCCTAGCTTGACTTATATACATAAAACCTTTCAGTCAGAGTCTCTGCTGACAGTTCTTAATGTTCTCTTCACAACAGTGATGATTCTGCTCATGCTTTCCCTGCGGAGTCATCGTAAGAAGCCCTACCTGTGCGATGAGGAGGAGAATGTTCACGAGAACATTGTCCGCTACGATGACGAAGGCGGCGGCGAGGAGGATACCGAGGCCTTTGACATAGCCGCCATGTGGAACCCACGTGAGACACACCATCACTTGGGCAAGATGAGGCAAGATATGCTGCCAGAGATCGAGAGCCTGTCTCGTTACGTCCCTCAGGCCTATGTAGTGGGCGGTGGCGGGGACAGTAACGTGCACGGATATGTGTTAGCAAAGCTCCTGGAGGCTGACATGGACCCGTGTGCCCCGCCTTATGACTCCCTGCAAACCTATGCCTATGAGGGGGAAGGCTCAGTCGCTGAGTCGCTCAGCTCACTCCAGTCAGGGACGTCCAACGCTGACCATGAGTACGATTATCTCAATGAGTGGGGGCCTCGCTTTAAAAAATTGGCCGAGATGTACGGCGTGCTGGATACAAACAGTCCTGTGTGGTAGACAAACACAGCCTTTGCCTTCATAGTCCAGGACAAAAAGAAAGACAAAACCATCCACAAAAACAGACAAAAAGTGTGTGAGGAAAATACGATAAAGCTGAGATGTGCTCACATCCACATCCAGGTTAGCACTCAAGTTCCTGCTGCAGTTCCTCCTTGAAGGCCTGAGGTGCCTGCAGCAGCAGTGTGGTTTTAAATCTCCCCCAGAGATGTGGTTTCAGAGACGGGCTAGACTGGCATCCTCATGAGGAGCCTCTTCAAAGCATATGTTAACTCCCCCAGCCACCAGGAGAGCCCCTGTGGCTTGAGGTGTTTATGCCACAGATAAAGACGGGAGCACAGGACTGCCTTACTGCAGCGTGGGGAGCAGGCTCTGAAATGCTGAGCCACTGTTCTGTGCTTTTATACAAGTGAAAAGTCACTGCTGCAATTAGAGATTTTTGTTTCATCTGTGGCAGGTCTTAATTTATTTCTTTGTTTCATGTGCTGTATTTATACTTTTAACTTATTTGGATTCCTCAAACCGACACTGTACTTTAAACTACAGCAATGTGGGGAAATCTTTACAAGATTACTTATATGTTGTAACATACCCAGTGTTTTCAGTCTGTGTGAGAAGTAACGTTTTTCATACATCTCCAAGTGTTACCAGTTATGCATAGGAGCTGTAACTCCATATGGGTTTTCTAGGTTGATATGTTTGGTGTATTATTGTTTTTGTATCAGTTTTGAGCTCTTTGTATTGAAAGTCTGTTTTATTTCCAAAAGCATCAAGCAGTTATATATTCATGGGGATAAGTGGGAAGCCAGTTTTGAAAAATGTGGTGATGGTGCTGGATGTGTCCCAGCAGACGGTCAGTGTTACCCTAGATGCATCAGCGTACCTGGATGAGCACACAACCGAGGCCCTTTCCATTTTGGATCCACCGCCGTGCCAGCCAGAGTCCCACAGCAGCCAGGCTTGATCTGTCCTAAGAGACTGTGATAATCTGCATTAAGTGCCAAATGTAAAAAGAACAAAACAAACAAACACATAAAGAAAAGGGATTTTACAAACTGGCAGGGAGACAAAGGTACATTTTGATTATGCGATTGGGTGGGACTCTTGAAAGGTTGACTTGAAATCATGTGATCAGTCAGTGGTACAGTATATGAATGTAGATAATTTTTTGTAATCTTGGTAATAAAAAGGTAATTTTAAAATATGTAATGTTCCTCCTCAGTCCTTAAACCAACTGTGTCTGAGAAGATTCACAAAACTAATCCAAGAAAAGAGTCTTCAGAGTCCTTTGGAATAATAAACTGCCTCTCTTGTCAGTAAATAGCATTATTCAATTCACTGAAGCATGGCAGAAATGGAAGTCCTTCAAAAGATAAAGTAGCTATTTAAATTTGCAATCATATGCTAAATTGTCCTCCTAAGCGATACTGCAGATGATGGTTTTCATTATAGTTTCTCTCACAGTACTTAATTTGCTTGACTTATTTTGTTTTGCAGCAGTAATGCTTAGCACTGATTAACAGCTCATCTAGCCACAGCCTGCTGTACCTGAGCCGAACGCCGCGCCGCTCCACCTGACAGCTTTCATCGGACCATTCATATGAACAAATGGAACATCTGCCAATAGGGATCAGTCTATGATAAACAAGATTCTATGTGATGCCACTGAAGGACAGGGAAGGTAAAAGACAAGGGAAGGGGAGGTGGGAGGTAAACAGACAAGTAAAAGGAAATTTAAAAGTATAGAAAGAAAAGAGAATCAAAGTGACTTTGAATTTCCATGAGCACTGACAAAGCTAATAAGTCTGAAATCAGCAGCTCTGGCTTACAGCACCTGCTGGGTGGCATTCAACAGTGAAACCACACCGAAGACGAGCCTACAATGTTCCCCGGGTTTGAGCCTTCATTTAAATGCATTCATGTACTCTGCACATGGAGCAGAGCACTGCACATGGAGCAGAGCACTTCAGTTACACAACAGATTCTCCCTTTGTTTAGTCCACACAGGCTTTACCAATCTGTATGTTTCTCCACATGGCACCACATTAGTTTCCTCATCTGTGTTTTAAAGAAATCCTTTCTAAGCTACAACCTCATCAGTGACAAGTAGCTGCCACTCTGTGTTGCCTTCACACCCTCTAGTGGTTGAAAAAAGTCTCATACATCCTTTTATTTTAATTTTACTGTAGAGAATTTGAGAACTTTGTGAAATGAACAGCAGAAATGCATTAAAGTTAAATTGCTATGTCCATGTTCAGCATTTTAATAGTACACATAGCATGGTTGCTAAAACTGCTAACAATAGCTACTAAGCCAAGAAGCAATCGAACATAGTCATTAACAGCAAAAATGTTAAAATATACAATGCTGCAAGATATGCATATATTATTTTTCAACTAATTTTCTATCAACAATGTTTTTAGTTGAAGTTTAATAACTGAATTTTCATGACTTGTTGGCGTTTTCCTGCGGGACCACAGAAGAATGAGTAAGCCTGTCAAAACTTATGGTAGTCAGCCAGACTCCTTTTGTCCCGTTTGGCTTCCAGAGCCTTGGTTTTGTTGTCTTTATTTTAATTTCTGTTTTACTCAAGCAAAATAAAACATTTGTAATTTATGTGGAAGATCTCCCGAGACTCTCAAATGCCAGAAAAGTCATTAAAAAACAGATCAGCATTTGTCTTGTCTTCCATTGTAATGTTTTCTTGGAAAGAAATTTTCAAAATCAAAACCATTTCAGTCCATAATGACAAGATGCATAAAAGCTGCAAATACTCATCCTCAAAAGCAAATGTTTGTCATTTTTTATTTGACGTGACTTAAATGGTCAATTGGTGCATAAGATTCATGTCATTACCTTTATTTCTAACAGAAACTCACCAACCTCAAACCAGCAAGTGAACAACAGAGAAAAAGGTGTAAAAATGTAAGAAAGGTTAAGCCCCAAGCCCACTGCACTTTCTCCCAGTGTCTTGTTTTGTTTGCAAAAAATGCAAAAAGCATATTAGTTCATATTGAAATGAAAACCAACAAAACTTTTCATTTCTTTATAAAATCAAACCAATTTTATTTGTATAGCGCCAAATCACAACAAAAGTCATCTCAGGACACTTTACAAAGTGATTGTTAATCCACCAAAACCTTGCCATCCCACTAAAAAACTTTATGTTACAGCTTCTATAATTTGCAAGTCAGTTTCTCCATAGAGCGAGAAGCATGTGCCCTCATTGTGACTTTTGTCCCATCACCTTGCACCACAAATCTACTGTCAAGAGCGTTTGTTAGCATGTGGAATGTGTGTCCTCCGGCCTCCTTCCTCCTCAGTGCCCGTCCCATCACTTTGCCCCTCCCTGCTGCTTAACATTCCCTGAAACACCCGACTGCAACTTCTTGCTCCTCCCCCCTTTCCTTTGCCCAGTTGCCAGCCTCTCCTGGGGTCATTTCCCGGCTGAAGCGGTGCACCCAAAAGGCACTGAGGGGATCACTTGCCTTCAGCTTCACTGCTTTTTCTAACAGACAAAGGAGCTTAAAGAGTAGAAGATAATAAGAAGCCTTCCAGCTCTAATCCTTCTGAGGGTAAACCATGGGCAGACCCACTGAATAATCCCCAATGCGAAGAGGAAAAATGTACCCAGATCAGATGGAAAGAAAGGCAAATTCCAGGCCCTGGGAGAGAGCAGGTCCCAGCCAGCCAGTTACTCAGTGAAACATATAGAACCAAACTGCCCCCGGACATCTTCTTAACTCTCTCCTCCTGGTTTTCTACCTCTTTCATTTACCCGGCAGGTCAACTCTGACTGTCCGTTCTCCTTCAGTGCAACATGTGCATCTTTCTCTTATAAAAATGATTCTTCATGCCTTTCATGCTTCTTTTTGCTTTAGCTCTTCAAGTTTTAGCATAACATGAACTTGCTGTCAGGCTCTTTGCTGCATCTCCATCATCTGCAGCCCATAGAGGTTTCCGCTTCACTTCAGATGCTAGTGTACAGATTTGCTTTGTAAAAAATTGCATGTTTTGTTATTCTTTCTCCTTTTGGGTGCCGGTCATTTTCAGTTTTAACAGCACTTTAAACCCTCCCCAGACAGAGACTAAAAGCAACAATGATTTGCCTCTACTCATGATTAATGTCTGCCACTCTGTCAGAACTGGACTGGCGTATTCGTCTGTGCCAGAGACGATCACTGTTGTGAAATCAGGGAATCACACCACTGCACTGGGTGACATCTTTCCTCATTACAAGACACCAGACTCTGATATTTAAAAAAAAAAAGTTGCTCCAAAGGCTCCAAATGACCATAAACTTTTACAGCATCTTAAGTAAGCAAGAGCCAAGAGCCCATGCACGAGATAGCTGGACATTTTTAACAAATATCATGGTCCTGCATTTTGTAATATGTCACCTAGTGCAGTGGTGTGTTTGCCTGATGTGTTTTTAATTGGTTTTGAACATCAGCGGAGGTCTATGGCGCAGGCAAATAAGCTAGACCAGTTCTGATAGATGAATAGACATGGTTTTAATCTCTGTGTGGGAGTGCTGAAAACACTGTGAATATACTGTAGAAAATGACCAGCCTCATCCTTTAAACTCCTGACTGCTGTGTAACCACTACACATTCATACATTCAGTGAAGTTAATGCATCAGTCACAGCCAAAATGAACTTATGGCTAATTTTCCAAATGTTAAGAGTATTGTGGAGGGGCTGGCGTAGCTAAGAGACACCACATCCTGCCCCATTTTCATCAGGTTTATCAGACAGTGTATAAAATCAAAACACCTTGCAAACATTTCCACGTTGTTTTTCACTGGTGTACCTTTCATTACAGCATATTGTGGCGCCCAGCGGTTCACTAGTACCCAGCAGAGGAATCAGCACCGCCAGCTGTTTATCTTGACAGCCCAGCTCCTAATACTTGCATAAGCGTAGCGGCTGGAAATGTAATAAACTGCACTTTCTTTTACTGATGTTCTTAAACATCTGAACATTTATATTTGGATGGCCATCTTACACACTGCGCTGCTCCATACAGAGGTATGTGTTCCTTCAGTGCCAGATTGTTTTATGTCCGTACATGTTGAAATTACTATTGACCCCTTGAAAGCTAGACCACTTTGACATCTGAGCGCTCATTCCAGATTCCAAGACATACACTGTAGGAGGCAGATTTAACACACTGGGGGCCATTAAACAAATTGAAATAGCAGGAAATGACCCCCACTTAGCAAGCAAATTCTGCATACAGAAGAGCCGAAAAATCAATTCTATTACTTGCGTGATGATTCCTTTGAAGCGCGGATATGAGTAATGGCAGGTTAATTAGTATGTGGGCGGTTATACTCGCATACATGCAACCCTCATTCTGTTCCAGCAGCTGACGGCTGGTGGGCTGTCAGGGTGAAGACCTTCATTTGCATTTTGACAGCGTCCAGCGTTTAGGAGAACACTGCCAATCAGCCCACACTCATGAAACTCAGAAGTTAATCTGTTTCTGAAGGCCAAGGCTGTTGAAGGGATTGATTGAAAAACTCTTTATGGAATAGTTTAAATTTGTCAACCTTCTGTCTGAAAAACACACAGTTACAGAGGTAAAAACACCATAATGTGAAAACAACTGAGCATTCTTTTCTTCACAAGGACGACCTTAACTTCATTATTTTAGAGCTGATGTTTTGAATTCAAACTGACAAATGTAGTTATGTGCTCAGAAACAAATATCACTGTGCATTAAATTTGTGTATGGATGAACTGCTCATCGTTTTCCTGTTTTCTGTCACAGAAACCCGCAGCCTGATTCAACGCACAATGCGTTCCAATAAGCAGCAAACATGCTCGGTCACATTTTCACTTTGACCTTTTGACCCTGATGAACTTGAACTGTGTCCAGTTTCTTCAGAGCGACAGTTCACTCTTGCGACAGGCATGTCTGTTGTAAAAGACTGTGTGAGAAGCCGAGATGTTGTTTGTGGCTGCTGCTAACCGCGCAGTGGAATTCACCAGTGTGCACAAAGGTTCGAGGGGGTAACTCAGAACTCATCAGGGGACAGTAAAAAGTAAAAAAAACAGGGCTTGTAATTTGAACAGATATACCGACGCCCATGTGTTTGTCTCATTTCCTTCACAGAGGATGCCCACAAGCTACCAGTGTGGTATAAACAACAGATGGTATGGTCTATCTGCAGCGAGCACTCAGCTCCTCACTCAGCCCTGGTGCTTTTCTTTGAACTTCAGGATTGTTTGCTTCAAATGGAGCTGAAGCTGATTTCCTTCCTTCCCAGGCTCCTGGACTCTGTGCACGCAGTCATTTCCCATTCCCTGCCTCCATTCCTGGAAACCCCTCTCTGATCCCCTCATGCGATTACACTTTGTGGGCTTAATCACATTCACATGTTGACATTTGCTGCATCTTCTGCCCCAGTATTCTCCTCAACCTTACCTCCAATTGACACCTCTGCCCTGATAATTAAAGATTTAATGGAAGTATTATTTCTTTTCCCTGTTTGTCTGTTTCTATGTGCCCATCAGTGTCCTCTTATCTTCAAGGAGGAATGTCAAGGATTTTAGGGATACCTGTTAAAGAGAAAGATTCATTAGGAGTTTAAATGGCCAAGTGTTGCTTTTGTAAGACTCTGCTGTGTTAGAGAGTTCTTGGTCACTCTCTGCAGTGATTACTGGGGGGAGGTGGGTGGAGATAAAGAGGATAAGGATGAGATGGGTTTCAATGTTTTTCTGCAGGCTCCTGTTTAACCCATCACTTTAGCTTTTCCACTGCTGGGCCTTCTTATGCAACACCCCTTTAATCCTTCGAAAGATACCAATTGAAATTAGCTTAGTGGGACAGCTGAAGCTTCATCTGAACCTCAGACAGACTTTGCCACGCATTCTCACCCAAAAGGACTGTGTACCCTAGATTTTTACAGTGTTGTTGCATTCAGGGTGGGAACCTTCAGGGTCAGTGTAGAGGGTAAGAAAAGTTACAGTGACTTAGCCTGTGCTCAGGATGAGTTTCAAAGGTGTGAAAAAGTGCAGCCCTCTCCATTAATCAATCCCATGGGGGACTGTGTTCACCACAACCGGCACCAGCACTGCAGGGGGCTCCGGCAAAACGACACGACCCTGTGTGGCAAAAAAAGTTGGATCTGGTTCCGTTTTGCCCCGCCGGACAGTGACATCATCTGGTAAAGGCGATGCGTTGGTCAATCACTTATGGGGAACAACTGGGATGTGAATTTTTTATCTATCACTGGTGCCAACATAGAGTAGGCTACATTAGCAGCATGGCTAGCCAAAGCACAATGGGCTGGAAACATGGATCCATCCACTCATGTCAATCCATATCATGCCTACAACACTCCCCTGCAACCCCTCAACCCCCAACCAATGCAGCCCCTTGCATTAAAACACAGCAGTGAGTCACATTTTATCACACTCAGCCTGAACACCTGCTAAGCCCCATTCTCACATACCTATGAGTGTGTCAGTATTGTTTTATGATGAACTTGAAAAATCATGTAACTGTCCTTTAAATGTGGGATTTCAGAGCACCCTTGAACAGTGGTTTTAGAACAATTCCTGCTCGCAAAAGCATTCTTAAGATGTAACTTTGACCAAAAAACACAAAAGAAGTAGCATTTTCAAAACTGATTTCCATATCCTACCTAAAACAACAGAAACCCGTGGCTCCCTAGAAGGTATCTACTACTCTAAATATACTATATTGTGGGACTTTTTGTGAGATACTGATACTTTTGTTCTCCTGCTGCGAGGGCTCAGTTGTCCAAACTGGCATCCTCACTTCTTTCTTCCTCAGCTCACCAATTGGCAGGTTACCTTCTCTGATGCCTCACACCCCAACCAGTGTTTTGTTCCTCCTCAGCAGTGAGGTCACAACGACAAACTCTTCTCCCACTGCGACTCATCTGTTAATGGAAAGGGACAATCATCTGGTTACAATTTTCCATTTGTAGATGTTTTCTGATGCACCAGCTTAGATTTTCATTACAGTATTTGAAGTCACCATAACAAATCTTTTTCTCTTCTTTCCTGAATTCAGCAGAAACAAAGCCAATCGCATACAATATTGATTCTCACAGGTCGCCAAGAGGGTGTTTAAATGAATCCAGACAAACACTTAATCTCAGTTGGATTGTTTCTTAATTAGATTTGTGGTAAAGATGATTTGCTGTCAGTGGTGACAAGTCTGCAGCAGGATCAGGATCAGTTCTGTTGGGAGATGACCTTTACCTGCAGGTGGTAGAAATGTGCATTCACAGATTTCTTCATCAGAGATGTGGCTCTGGATTGAGTTTGCACTTTCTCTCCCACCTCTACACTAGAGCCGTGTGTGTGTTGATAGTTCAAAGAAGCATAAACTCAGATTAATTCTGCCGGCGCCGGTGGATTAGCAAAGCGCTTGCCCTCTATTTCACTGACATTTTTGCCATTTGGCAGTGTATTTCATTGACTATCCCTTTGCCAGTTTAATTTATTTACAGTCGTATTGATTCAGATAGTTCCCAGCGATCTGTGGCACTGCGCAAACTATTGGAATATTTTGGAGTATCAACTGCAAAATCCTTTATTGTGGCATCACCGCACAGGCCTGTGACAAAATTTCTGAAAGGTGTGCATTTTTAATACTCACAATCATAAAGGCAGACAAACAAAATTAGGCACACACATACACAGGCCAACACATGCATTCCTGTCACACACACACACACACACACACACACACACACCACAGTTCTTTCTTTCATTCCCAGTTGAATTGAATCATGCAGTGAGACCTACTTCTCTTTGCAGCCCTGCTCCGGCTTGTCTAATCCATCAGTGGTGGACAAAGCACCATGTCAGCCATTTTCACTAAATCTGCCACAGTCAGAGTCATCAGCCTGCCTGTCTGTCTGTCTCCCCACCCTCACGCCCCTGAAAACACTTGAACACAGCACACACACTTATTTTTCTCATGACGATGTTTTCAAGGGTCAGTTTGCACAAATCCCCAAAAATTCACTAAGACCACATTTTTGAAATTATCTACTGAGGTTTTTCTCCCTGTACCTGCGTGGGTTCTCTCTGGATGCTCTGGCTTCCTCCCACAGTCCAAAGACATGCAGCTGAGGTTGACTGGCGACTCTAAATTGGAGTGTGAGTGTGTGTGGCTATTTGTCTACATGTCAGCCCTGTGACAGACTGGCGACCTGTCCGGGGTGGACCCCACCTTTCACCCAATGTAAACTGGGACTGGCTCCAGCACCCTCACGATCCTGTTCAGGACAAGCGGTGTAGATAATGGATGGATGGTTTTACGGCTTGTGTCTTGGCAGCTAGCATCAACTAGAAGACTGGACTGTTCCCCACCATATTCAAAACAGCATGGCAAATACTGAAAACTGTCATTAGAATTCCTGACAAATAATATTTTAAGTAATTTAGTAAAGAAATTGTCAGAGAACTGTACAGTCCATGCGATGCCTTCAGTTAGCTTGTTTTATGCAACCAACAGACCAAAATCCAAAGATTTTCTTTTTAAATTCCTTTAATTGACTTATCAAGTTATCAAACTGCACAAATTCAAAATTTTAAAGTTGCTCAGTACCCACACTTTTAGTTTAGCTGTATAATACACTGACATAAATGACCATTTCAATATACACTATGTTCTCCTTTTTTTTGGCAGTAGCCCATTTAACACATGAAACAACATCATAGCAACAGTTTGTTCTGAACAGGAACGGGTTGTAAAAAAAAGAAAATGAAAGCTGTGTAGATATTGAGTCGACTCAGACAGAGCCACAGTTGCTGTCATTCCTGCAGCTCCAGAGGGCAGAGAGCAGGTACATCTGGACCCTGTGTGCTGCAGCACCAGCTGGAGACCCTGCACTCAGATCCTACACTCAGCTAAACAACGCTATGATAACTGGTGCACTTCTACAAACCACAGACTAAACAGGCAATCCAACCACTGTGAGCGTAAGTGAATGTGAAACCGGCTCCAAGCCAAAAACAAATCAGCTCGCCAAAAATATTCCTGGAGTTATTCCCAAAACCTTGTTTGAGAAAAATGGAAGGACCAGTACAGGCCAGTAACTGTTGGACAAGAGGAAAGTGAAGTGCTGTTTGGTAATTTAAAAAAGGGGACAAATGGCTGGCCATTTGTGATTCTCCTTCTTCTTCATCTGTGTCTTTCTACATTGCTAGTTTCTTTAGATGGCCAAGATATGACTTTAGTTTGCCCTCTCCTCCCACGCTAAGGAGAGTCAGGACTAGTGGAGAAAATGGAGAAATTCAGGGGGGGGGGGTGACGGCAGTCCGTGCAGCCTCCCCCTGTCCTCAGCCACAGGAGATGACAGTGAAACGTTTGGAGATGCAGGACATGTTGTGTAGCACAATGCCCAGGAGGAAGAGCAGCACACACGCCACCAGAATCACTGTGCAAACGCCAGACCACGTGGAGCCCTTCCCTCCTCCTCCCACAGGGCCAGTAACTCTCTGTTCAACCTCCCCTCCCTCCAGATCCATAGCCAGCCCCAGAGGCTGCTGCTCAGGCACAGTCACCACTGCTATCCCCTTCTGCTGGCTGCCAGGCAGGAAGTGACATCCCAGCTCCCCTGGAAGGCCGAGTGCCCGCTCCTTGGCGACAGGCAGGGGAAGCATGTAGCAGCCGTTGCTAGGGAGCCGGATGAACACGGGCGTGTGCTCAGAGGCATGAGGGATGGCAATGACAGTGATGATGTCTGGGTCATCCGGAAGCTGGGACACAGAGAGACCCGGCGGGAGCTTGGTGACGCCACGGCACCAGGGACAACGAATCTCTTTCTGGGTGCTGCGCATCTGGGTCAAACACACTGAGCAGCATGTGTGTCTGCAATCCAGGAGCTTAGGCCGCCGGCGGGGGCTGTAGTAGTTA